TCCACCCCAAACTAAACACTGATTACCGACAAAAGAGTAAGCCTCACAGGAGCAGTTGTTCAAACAGTTGGTACGACATTCTCCWGAACTCCCAACAGCCACGGAACTTTTTGKAGGCAGAGCCGTGACTGTAATCATGAGAAAATCGAGACTTCCCACGTTTCTACCACACTGTAAATCAGTTTTTCTTACACACCCACCAGAGAAATMACTCTGATTCCAATCTCTCTCTGATCCGGGCTTGAAGCCAGTCAAGCAGTTACAGAATGGCATTTCAGTCTCCCTGCAAATACCAAAAGGCCCACAAATAGCATAGACCTGACACTGTGTTTTAGGTTGAGACCAAAAGATATTCCACTGTTTCTGAGACTCCAACCATGTTTGTTGTTGAACTTGTCCTGAAGCAGTCATTATARATCTAGATATAATGGAAGGATTATACACTGAATAAGTGAAATAACTCTCATTCTCGTTCGAAAAGAAGCTGAAATTATAAATGTGATCCAACCTCATTTCAGGTGATAAGCTGAATATCCTATCATTCCAAGCACCACTTGTCCAATATTGGTTGGAGTTATTCCACTTACTTATATACGCCTTCTCTGACGGGTCAAGCTCCAAAGAAAAGAATCCTACATCAGGATTTTCTCTGCTTTTCCATGAAGTAAGAAGCTGGCTTTTTTTAGTTCTATWATCATACGCAAGTTTAGAACCAGGTAACCAAGTATCAACTGGGTGATCAAAACTTTGCCAAACAGTTTCAATTAAATTTGACTGGTCTGTCAAAACTAAGTTACCATCATCACGAATAATAACAACTGCAGAATTCGAATTGGTGGTGGTGGTGGTGACGTTTGTGGACCAAATCTGGAAGTTGRACTCATTTAAGAGCACTAAGTTACCATCTACGACTTTTAATTTAGACTTGAATCTATCAGATACGGGYGTTTCTCTGTTTGCTACCCARACTAYRGTARGAGGGTTGGAAGAKAYCTTTTTATACCAGRTGCCTATGTAATAGTTTGAAGAGTTACCTGGTTGGAAGAAACCCAGCACAAAGTTTTCAYCTTTGGATATGATTGTTTGRTCTCCAGATAGAGACTSATTTGCATATAAGGTSTCMGCTCCAGATGAGAAACAAACGGTGAGAGAGAAATACAGGAGCARAACCCCCATTAAACTGTTACTTTTTGTGCAGCACATGATTGATACAAAATTTGGACAAAGAAGATAGGTACCGAGAGAAAGAGAGATTACAGATACGATATCAGATACACAAACATATTAACATGATAATGGGATTTATAGAAATGACAATGTACCCCTCTGGTGAAGCTCCTAAAAGTCATGCATTTAATGGTTTCCAGTCACTCTAACTTGCTAAAGCCGCTTGGAAAATGATTACAGGAATAAGTYMAAAGAAAATGAAATACTTCTTCCTTGCCAAGTCCTTTCTCCGTGGACTGTAAAGTTGAAAGACWGTCGTGAAAGAGTTCTGAATAAAAACACAATTTGACAGTGGAATAGTTCATCAATCATCGTATTTCACACGTTTGACAAGTCACATCCCGCCCCTTTCACCACAGATACAAATTCAGAGTCAAATATTCTACATGGTGGAACTTGACATCCATGTTTTCTCCATCAAGTCCACACAAATCTATAGACATTTATGGTACTGGTTACTATTAAATGGGTTTAGCTGTATTACCCTAGTATTAATCTCCAACCAACCTCTGATTATTTCAGTCCCTGTTAACTTAGAAGTAGCCAAACTAAGAGATACTCAAGATCGACTCGGTCAACACTCGACTCGAATAAGCTCGGCTTGAACTCGAACTCGACTCGACATATTAACGAGTCGAGTCGAGTCACCCAATACTCGACTCGAGAAGCTCGTGAGATACTCGATTATTTTATATATAATTAGTTTTAAAATATAATAAGCTTTCATGATAAAATTTGTAAAATCTAAATAATAAAAATGTCTTATATTTTTAGATATTTAAACAAAATTATGCATTTTTTAATTGTAAAAATTAATCAATTATTTTTTATTAAAATCACATATAAAAAAAAAGACAAAGAAAAACTATAAAAACGGTTAGTAAAATTGTCCCACATTGGAAGAGAGATGGTAAGAGAGATGGTAAAGGAAGGGAAAAAAGATGTTATAAAAAGAGAGGGAGGTGAATGAAATTTATAACTTTGTCCTTTTTATGATGAAGTTTGAAGTTGATCCTTTTAGTCTTRTAAAAACTAAGAGAACACCTTTAAGTTTTAAAATTTATAAGAGAAAAAACCAAAAATTTCATAAATTTCAATGGGTGAGCTTGGTTCGAGCTTGATTTGAGTTCGAGTTCAAGTTTGATTTGAGCTTGTTTCTAGCTCGAGTTCGAACTTAGTTCGAGCTCGATTCGAGTTCGAGTTCGAGCTTGGGAAATAGTTATCCAGTTCGAGTCGAGCTTTGATTTTTACTACTCGCGAGTTTTTGAGTCGAGTTCGAGCTTGGAAATTGGGTTTCGAGTTCGAGTCGAGTATAGTGATACTCGAGCTCGACTTGCATCATTTACACCTCTAAGCCAAACTGATGATAGTAAAATGAAAATTAAGTCACAATATAACTTCTGTTTATCATATTGTGCCCCCATGTGTTGCTAAGTGGTAGGATGGTTGGCATCCACAAAGGAGATCCCGGGTTCAAATCCGGGCACCACCACTTGCTGCTGAATCGTAGCGATTTACCTCCCCGTCCATGTGAGTGGTGCGATGGGGGCGCTCCAGAGGGTGGCGTCCACCTTCTTTTCTTTTATGAGCACATAGAGCCCAAGTTCACGTAAGCTCTACTACCAAATTTAATTCAGGAATACGTATACAAGTACTTAACACCAAGAGATGGCTAATGGTTATCGAGCTACACATCAAAACCAAGTACAAGGTCCCAAATTCAAATAAAACCCTAATTCGCAATCTAGGATCTTCATGAAGATGGTCTAAGTTGAATTCCGCACGATTTTGTTTATGAGTATTATCATTAAACACCTCTAMCTAATCCATAATTGTCTTTCTCTTACTTAAATATTTATCCATAACTGTTAGAAGTTAAACTAATTAGTCAACAAAAAGTATACAACCCTATTCTAATCTCAAATGTGAGCATTAAGATTTAAGAACAAAAACAAGGATGACAAAAACTTAAAACATTATAAAAAGSATACATAAACTATATTACAAAAAGTTTAGTTAACGATTAATCTTCATTGATTAGCTTCACACCACATTTAAACCTTCTTAACAAACTCACCCTAGTTTTATGGAGGCATGAYTGATACTCTTTAATCCTTTTTCTCTTCAAGTTCTCATCGATACAATTACCACAAGCAAGAGTGGACTCACGTTTGCCTTCAACTCTTCCCCTTCCTTCCTTAATCTCGGGTTTTTTATATAAACTGGATGTTCCATATATGTTTTGAAGGTAGTAACAAGGATCAATATAAGAAGATGACGAAGACACGATACCTTTGATGTGGCTTGGGCATAAAAGCTTTACGAACTCCACTATCTCTGGGAAGCAGGAGTGATCGGAATATGGAACTGTGTAGATGTACCGATGGTGTTTTTTGATATTATTTGACATATCTATATCCAGACAGACGCCCATTTCTGTCTTCGTTGAAGGAACACCACAAGATTTATCCTTGCACCCATCTTTCTTTAGTGCCCATGGAAGACCGGATGGCATGATTCCAATGGTTGGGCGCATGGTATTTAATCCTTCCAAAGTTWCAACAGTAAAACTGTAACGAGGAACTGCTCTCACTCTAGTCAAAGTAGTTTTCGTCGTGAAGTTGCCATGTAATCCAAGAAGATGCATGGTCTGCAAGCGCTCTGGCCACACCCAAATCTGACGTAATATAAAAGAAAGGTGATGAATTAATTGACATGTGACACGATGGGGTGTAGAAGTGCAAAATATTCACTCATAATGTACCTAACATGTGCATGTTGAATTTTGTGATGGTAACTTTACAWGATTCAAACGACTTATACACGACTTGTAAAGTCGCCTAAATTGAATGACAAAACTCACAGCGCATCTGTTGCGACATTCAGGCGAGTTATAAAGTGGCAGGAAAGGTAGCATAGATCTATGTGACTTGGAAAGCCGTGTTCGCCAAAGTAAGTGACTTGCAGGCAACTTTAAAGTCGTGCCGCTAATTTAAAGTCGTGTTTCTAAGGGTTTATTCAAGAGGTTTGAAAGACCATGCAACTTATAGGCAACTTGCTAGGTCACCCAGAAGTCGCCTCCRGGCATCAGATGGGATAAAATGAGATTTTAGAGCTCTTTGTTATTAGAACAAACATATAGAGCTCATACGCATTTTGGTTTTGTTCTCGTCTCTCCAATTTAAAAAAAGTAGGTTGTTTTGGTATCATTCATATTCTTTGTAACGATTGGCAAGCACTTCATTGCATCCTCTACTTAATTTGATAGTATATTGTATCTCAGTGTGCAGGCGTTATATCATATGTGGTCCATGTCCTTCCGTTCCAATTGTGGGTTGTTTGGCATCAAACTTGTTCTGGTATGGGCATTGTGACTTGGGTTTTATAGAAAAAAATCTCCTCAATGATACTTGGACAACGGTAATATCACCAACACTAGTGACAACTATATACTAATTGATGTCACCAAAATATATGTATACAAACACGTTGTTGCATATAAAGTTCAACAATGGTACATGAAGCAATGTAGCATCCATCGTAGCATTCAAAGCTCCTAACATGGATGAGAATAGAACCAATTAGTAGCAAATTACCTTTACTTTCAGCATTTTTGAGATGTAGAGTAATAAATCCTCTTTCCCCAATGAGTCTATGCCAATGATGATATCATGCTCAGGGTAATTGTTGATGATATTGAYTACCTGTAGATATTCATAAAAGAACAAGAAGAATTTATGTATGTTACTATGTTACRTAACGAAGCAATAATATTTGCTGGAGAAGGTTTGGTAAAGATCTGTAATATTATTATGATAGTTTCCTGATWTATTTAGATCACATAAAYTATGGGAYTTGATTTGARTTATATTATCGAGATCCCACAAATCATGGATTTAAGTTAGGAATTACGGGACTCTAGAATTGAGATTTAAGATCTGCAAGAACAAACCTGCTGAGCAGCAACTTCCCGAGAAGGAAACGAATATGATGGGTTGCAGTAAGTGTTGTCTATGTAGAGCATATCGACTTTATCATTTTTGAGAGCACCAAGTAGCATCCTCTTTCCAACTTCTGCAACTTTACATGTTACTTCCCAACGGAAATCACCAGTGTAAAGCATGCTGCCAAACTCACCACGGAATAGATACATAACTGCACCTGCCACATAGAAAAGGAACCATACAATCAAACAAACTAATACACCTTACATTAAGTTTTAACTCTGGGCCAATCACACTGATAAGGACAAGGTGACAAAGCAAAATCACGACCAAAAAAATTATTTGCAGTAAATTACTTTAATGCAACAATGGGACTCCTATATCTAAATATTACACATAAGCCGATACAAGAAACTCAAAAACTTGCATCAATTGCGGGTTTAATAGATGCAGAAAGATGGAGAGAGAAAGAACGAAGTGGTTATATTCGTTATCATGTGATTTTGCTAAAGGAATTAGACCTCTTTTATAAAGAAAAGAAACATAGKAACCAACTATTATAACAGAGGACCTCCACCTTCGTGGTAGGTTGGCGGCCTCGCTGTATTTCTGTTGTCACCTATGCCACCTTCATTGGCAGTTAACATCAAGAACCATCCATCTCCGGCACTGGCATCTTCATCTTCTCTGTTTAGCCACCATCATAGAAGAAGCTCATGAAATCCGACCCTTGGCTTCCACGACAACYGTCAACGAGGTTATTTACTTTTCCGGCAAGCTCCACTCAGACAGGTCAGCGCAGTAACCGCCAGAAAGATCACTCAACATCCCTCTCATGAACTTGCCATGTACAAAGAGATTCACTAGCAACTTCAAGAAATCTTTGGGCAAAGGGTTKCTCAGGTCAGTTGTGCTTCATGGATCTACCTGTGGCTTCATCTGACTCCATAAATTGTGGGCTTGATCAGAGATAAACAGTTTTTGTTGATTCAATTTCTGCAGGCGGCTGTTCAARTTCTTCTATGTGGTGTTTTGCCAGTGATAGGACACCACCAGGTCTACTCGAGTAGGTAGTTTATTGATGAAGATCCAACTACAAATTTGTTTTCAATTTATGGTTTCAAGTCCAGGCACTTTTAGATTTTCACTTTAGTCACATTTCATTGTTGTTAGTACTTAGTTCATTTAGGGCTGTTTTCTTATCAAGTTACAATCTCAATTTACTTTTCTGGATTGGCATCAAACAAGATTAAAGTGCCCACATACACACAAGCTAAGTGGAAATATTTGACAATCAGAATCAAAGAGCGATAATTTAAAGATCCAACTGAAATTCTAACCATATTAAGAACAATAAATTGACAAAACTTAGAACTGAGTTGCTTAGATACAAATGGAGCACTGAATTTGGACTGAGAAAATGAAATGGAAACCATAAAGGAGGGTCATCCTTCCTACCATCAATACTGAATCGTAACTAGAAAAACTTAAGCAGGGTGTGAGACTGGTCATTAACATAATTGTTATGTTGAAAAGCYGTCAAAATCTTCTGAACTACACGCTGAAGATGATAAAACTTGAATGCACCACAGGCTCAATATATGACATGGAGTGAAAAAAASGAGGAAATGCACAGGAAATCAAATGTTTTCCGTAACAGTTGAAGATTTTTCTTATTCAATGTGGTACAGAATACACTGATTTATCACTCAATTGTCTGTAATTTCTGATAATTTGAAATTGTTGAAGAAGAGGGAGGGGGCGGCTTTTCCACAATATCTTTGATATATGGAGGATAGGGGTGGGTGGCTATTGGATTACTTCAATGTTTGAACATGAACATATCAGGAAATTCGTTCCTAATCTTAAGTAAATTGGCATGAATATTTTCTGAACACCTATAGCAGTGTCACTAAACAGAACTTTAATTTATCTGTCTCAGAAATRGAAAAAGTCAAAATTTCTGGCATATGAAACAAAAGCTTTGAAAAGAACAAAATTCATAACAACTATATTTCTGCATGTAAATCATGCTGGCCTTCACCAACATGTATGTGACAAACAGAAATGGTCCAGAGAATAATACCATGTCCTTTAGTCGTATAATTCAACACCAAAATCTAAATGCGAATTCTTTCCGGAAAGTAATTTAGGGTATATATCAATCACTCATTCAATAACTAACAAAATTTATTCAAAACACCGAAGCAAACAAGTGATGAGAGATTAATTAAATCACATAACAATAGAAAGTAGAAACCCAACACAGACTTACCAGGGCAATGRTTGGCATCAATGGCTATAACTTCAAYCCTAGTTTCCAAWYCAGAGGACAAGGAAACCAAAGGCAAGGAGTACACTTGCCCGATTTCGAGGATTCGAAGCAATGAGAGGTCGAAACCGGGGAATTTGGGAGGAAACAGCTTAGCAGTAATGCGAGAGCAGAAAAGTGGAC